AGTTACTGTTACAACTGGAAAAATGGAAAACGACGAGATATAAAATAAGTTTAGGTCGAAATACGAATAGGAATAGAAATATCTATATTTGGTAGGCAAAGTATCTTGTAACTATTGTATTTTATATTTATATCTACTTTTTCTACAAAATTAATAAAGAACTAAATAATACTTCTCTTCATATGTCTTTATTAAAATCCTGTTTCAAAAAATGATTTTAATTAATTATTAAAAAAAAATTTAATTTAAACACATAGAATTAATGAATATTCTTTTCTTAATTTTTGTTTACCTTTAATTAAAATAAATAGAATACTTAAAATGTAAATCTGTCTAACTATTATATTCTGAAAATATATGATTATATAAAAATAATTACAGATATTATAAGTAATAAAACTAATGTATATTCAATACTGTATAATCGAAGTGAAAATTAATAAAATTTAAATGTTTTAAATTATCTACATATTTGTATTGCGTTTGATAATTTTGCATCTAAAAAATACTGTAATATAGCATTTTAATACTGATACTAAACAAATATTAAATAATTTATCGTATATCAACTTAGAAAATTCCCAATAGTACATGAATACATCTCTGAAGTTCATGACTATTAGAAATTCTGATTGAAATACATATTTTTATATAAATTGAATAGATATAATGTGAATCAACATCAAGTGAATTTAAAGTGACAGAAAGTAAATGATTACTGATGAAAATAAAGATAAATATTTTTTATTAAGTTATTTTATAGTCAATATTTTGAATCTATGTATATACTACTAATTATACTATATTAGACTACGTTATACGATATTATTATTCTATGCATTTTATATAATTAGCAGTTTATGATATTCAATTTTCTACTTATGTTATTATAAATTCTCTGTTTCTAATCTTTATGAATTTTTTATTTGCAATATTAGCATTTATTTATTTTTATCTTAATAAAAAATCTAGTATTTTCATGTATTACTTGTGTCAGAGTAAAAATACTAATATATAAAAAAATAAAAACAAATGCTATATTCATATATGTAGTATATAAGGGAAATGTAAATAAAAATTTTGCTTTTAAATTTATAACACACTAAATTACCACATTTAATAATATTAGAAAATAAAGTTATAATCATTGAAAAACTTACACATATATTCTCATATTTTGATTATAAAAATTGTTTTGGATAAGTAAGGTATGATTCATATAGATAAAATTATATATTTTTATTAATTAGCAAATCACATTTGATCTGATATATATATATATTATATTTAATTTCTCTACCAAAATTAACATAAATATCAGTCTTTGAAATTTTAATATAATCATTTGATTAATTGTTATATTTCGTTAATTCTTTTCTGTGTCTTAAAAAAATATCACAAAAAAAGAATAAACTTATTTTAGAAAAGAAGCTTTATTAATGTTTGAGACTGGATTTAAACTTATAAATTAAGTATTTTCTAAATATCTTCTATAATCAATTAATAATCGTGCGATAATTAAATAATAATTTATATTTTTAATAATTTATACTGACATCTCTAAGTAATTAATAAATATGCATTTTTGAAGGTTATTTAACATGTAGTTATAGATTAATTTCATACTACGAATTAAAGCATGTATAAGTAAGTATTTAATTATAAACTCTAAATGTTCAATTAAACTGACTGGATAATGTAATGGTTTTTTAAATTAAGTCACTGCCACGTTTAGAGGAAAATTACTTGTGATCTATGCCTAAAAATAAATGTTAAGTCATCACATATAAGGAACAACTGCGTTACGCATCCATAAAAAGTTAAAATGCAAGGTCTTGCTCTTATTGGTATATTGAAAAAGTATTTGTAAAAAGTTAATGTTACTGTGTGGTTTTAAATTTGGCTGATGTATTGAGAAGGCCGAACGGTAATTATTATTATAGGGATAGGCCTTGGGCTGTTATCCGGAATGTAACATGACGCGCGCAATTTTCCCGAGAGTATCTTCAACGGCATTAAACGACTTTTCATCGTCCAGTACCTCGAGGATCTTCTTTAAAAGGGATTGCTTCTGCTGGTCTTTATTGTACAATTTTTTTCCGCTGAATATCCAAATTCAAATCACGTTCCTTCCATTTTTTTTTTATGTTTGAAAGATAGTCTCCTATTTCTTTTCTCTTAGTATCACAAGTATCACGCTCGGCCATCGCCATCATAATGCTATCTAACATTTTAATTTTATTCGATAACTCTTATACGTACATATTGTATAATATTATTTATAATACGAATTACTGTGGCTTTACGACTACGTCCGAAAGAAGCAAGTTCTTTGATTAAAAAATCACAGATTGAGTAAAAGGGGCTTCTATTTCATATTGAAAATACATATATCTATAGGTACGTTCTCGAGATTAAGTGTATATTATATTTATTAATCTATCAATTACTTATTTTAAATCTAATATAAAGTATTCCTTAAATAATTTATATCACATATGTTCTTTACGAAAACATTAAACAATTTCTTACCTTCAAAATACTTGTAGAAAAAAGTCATCAGTCTACAATTTCATACAAAATTCTTCTAGAGCCATATCTATATTTCTATATTTTTATATGTATTCAAAGATAATTTGAAATCATATGCCAACTAAGTAATTATAAACGTTTAAAAAGTTTACTACTTTTGTATTTGTTAACGACTAAAAAAAGAAATGGCAATATTATGATGATGAATATATTGTATCATGTATAGTCATTTTTCTGTTTTTAATCACAATTTCGTTTTTATTAAAATTATAAACACACCCTATTTTATTTAAAAATTTTAATGAAATATTATGAAATATTATAATAGATAAAATATAAATAGTAATAGATAAGATAAAGAGATAGAAAAAAATGATATGTGTACGTGTTATGCGAGAATTACAAATCAGATGATAAAATATGATTGTGTTAATTAATAAAACTGTATTGAAATTAGTATTTTTTATATTATATTTCGTATCAAATTTTTATTCGTTTATACAATAAACATGTGATATATGTAAATTAAATTAAGTACATTTGCCATATATACATCTCTATCCTCGTTAGCACTGTTGTCCCAATTTATAAAAATACTCATACTCGATATCTTCGTGTATATGTATACTACTCAATTACGTGACATATTCAACAACAAAAGAAAAAATAAAGATGCATAATATATACTTATTCTTAAGAAAATGTTTTTTAAAAAGATCATTGAATATAAATAAAACGTAATTGAGCGTGTCGAGACTCATCTCGAAATTGTTTTCCTAATATTTTTTATAATATTTTTATTGTAAATCTCTTTACATGTTAAGTAAAATTATAATCTTAATAGACACATTAATTTATATTATTTTTATAATCAATTACTCATTATAATAATTACACATATATATTTTTTTATTGCTACTTTCAATGAAGGATGTAAACAAAAAAATTATTGGAATGATTGATACTATCAGATAATATTCCTTTCTTTTAAATATATAATGTTGAAATATTCTCTTAGCCGATATTTTTTCATTGCTTATAATAACTTATCTAATTTACGTAATTTGCGTAAGTATTTCAAAAGCTCTAAGGCAATTTTAGCCTTACAAAAGGCTTCACTGAGAGCTACGTGAATGAGATTTCAATTTTGAAAGTAAATAAGGAAGTATTCTACAATGTGATATCTAGGAAGAAGTCTTTTTTATATTTTTATAAGAATATTTTAAATTTTACCAAAAAATACTTCTGAGTACTATCTTATCTTATTTTAAATCTTCTTTTAAATTTCAATTTTCTATAAAATACAAAATTTAATTAGACATTTCGAGAAAAAAGTTTGTATTAATGAATATTGATAAGTTCTTTATTGTTTACATAATCGCTAAACGTTACTGTATTGATGTTACAAGCAATTTGTACATTATTTCATTTAATAAGAATTCATATATTTAAAAGTTCATTCTTGACATTGGCGACTCAGTTGCTTAACTTACTTCAAGAATTTGTATACTGTTACGGCAATTTTTTAGAAGTTACATTAATTTACGCGAAGGATGATTTTGTGCACTTATTCAATTAAAAGACCGTCAATTAAAGTACCGTGATCTGATTGTTTTAGTATACAATTATATGAGCGCTAAGATTAATTATAATTCTTTAATCGGTACTGTAGCAGTATCTGGCTTACACACACGCTCTCTGTTAGCCTCCTATAAACGCATTTATATACTACCGTATGACTATCTTGTAATTATAATAAAGAGTAAGGACAAAATGCATGCGTTTGGAAAAAAAGCAAAGGGGAAGAATAAATGTGTATGCACATACGCGCTCATTTAATCGCTGAAAAGCTTAGTGGAGATTAGTCATATTATGTGATTTTGCTCAAGCGAATATGGAGCTATATGTACATAATGGGTGAAAAAACTCATGTTTTGGAGAACCGTTTTGACATAAAAGGATATTAATCGTTCATGGACGGATTATGCATTCATACATGGATAATTCGTGGTACGAAATTAGTATCGATAGAAATATATGATATACGCGTGAGCTATATTTAGTTTTCTTTTAATTGTATGATTATTTTGTTTAATTCAAATTTAAAATTAAGCCTACTTTATTTAAAATAATCATTTTTCAATATTATAAATTTAATATTTTAGAAGCTCATGCGTGGATGTAATTCCAGTTTCTTTATCGTTCAATAGAGAGAAAAAATATGAAAGAAAAGGTAAAAATATGAGTAAAATAATAGGTATATAATTATCACCATTATAAATGAAGGAGAAGAAACGATGTGATGAAATATGCTTCTACCAAGTATCAAATGATTAGTACATATACGATAGATAAGATTATATATAATTGTAAGAATATATAAAGATATACTTGTATGTATTTTTGTGTGTATCTGTGTGTATGTTTGTGTATGTATGTGGATGCGTGTCGGCTAGAAAGTACATTACCTAAGGTGAGTTTTTCGCCAGAGTCGGGCGGCAAGGTGAAGCCGAGAAGTGCCATACTGGATATAAGCACACAGGGCACGATAAGGTTGAAAAAGTAGTAGAGGGTACGCCGTCGTATTTGAATGAAGAAGGTGACGTCGACGTAGGGCTCCGGGCAGCATTGATATACAATAGTATTGTTCTTGCCGGGCATACCTGCAAATTTCATTACACATGCGAGTATAAAATTCGAGCAAGTATTATTGTAAAAGTGACCACACTATCTTTAACATAATTTTCCCCTGTCCAGCATATCACATGATCAAATTGTTTTTGTAATATTCATCTTATTATATCACCCACACAGGCACACCCGCTCGCGCAAGTGTACGTACACGTAATAAGCTTATTTTGGAAGCCACACTGTGAAGGTAAATTAATTAATTATGACAACGCGTGTTCAATAATATACATATTAGATTCGAACCTTCGATCTATAGAACTGAATAGTAATCTAGTGCACTTCAGAACTTACAAATACAATAATTTAGAAAGAAATCTAAACTTTTGTATAATAGCTTTGTTGATTTATAAATATATAAATAGATCCAATATCTCCAGGAACTCTTTGCGTACACGAATGGAATTTAACGTAAGACATTTCAAACAAATTATATATTTTAATCAATTATATATTAAATAAAAATTGTACCTCAGTAAATAATTTATAATTAAATTCAATATCAATTTGTAAATTTATTAATATTTGTTGAATATATATTTTTTAACATATTGAAAGTTGGTATTTATAGTTAGTTATTTTATAAAGAATTATTATACAGAATTTATTTCTTTTTTTTTTTTATAAAATTTGAAATATCATAATAATAATATTTTTTGTTATATCATTAAACAAAACATTAAAACATTATATGATATTAAAATTTTTATTATACTTTGTGTACATTTTGTAAAATATATTTTATAAAACATATAAAGACTAATATATTTAAAGTAAAAACATTTTTACTTTCAATTTTCAATCTGTTTTACATAAATCAGTCATTCGCAATTAACTATTTATATGTAAGAAAGTATTTTATGTAAGTAGAGATATATTTTCCAGTTATTCGATGAAAGTTTTATTATACATTCAAGTACAACTAAATATATATTATAATCAAATATTTGAATTTTTTAATCTTTAAGTTTACAGTGAATATACGTTATTTCAAATAAAAAAACATATTCTTCAAATTTTTTATGAATATGTATAAATAACTAAAATTGTTCATCATTCACTGCTGGTAAAAATAAAAATGAGCAAATACTTTTTTTCTGCTTTTAATAAAATTACATAATTATACTTTTCTTATTCAATGCGCGAAAGAAAAATCAGTGAAATAAAGATATTTTGTTAATGTACTTTCAGAATTATTATATACGGACTATGTAATGTAATTGTTGAATATATAGTAATTTAAACGTATAGAAAATTCATATTATAGTTTTATTATAAGACTACGTTATCATCGAATTACTGATCCATCACAGCTGTTTTGGAACAATATAGATTCATCGGCTTACTTCTTAGTAAAAGCACAATCAAATAAAAAAAAGAACAATCGATCCAATAGGAAAGAAGAACAAACGACACGAAAACGTACATCGAAACAGAGATAGTATGGCTTAGTTATTAATTGATATATTGATTCCTTGAGACATCGGTGTTTCATAGAAGTTCTGTGGATTTTCTTAGACTTATGTATAGAATTTTTACGACATCGAAAATCATAATGGTTTATTGATTATAATAAAATTTATTGGTTATATTTATTGGTTATAATAAAAGAATAAAGTAAGATAGAAAAAAGAATATATCCTTAGATTTGTGTAAGTCTGATATACTAGAAAAAATTAAATTCTTATAATGAAAAAAAACAGCCAGAAATAAACATTTGACAAAGTAATAAAAAATGTTAATTTTCATTAACAGAAATTTTCTTTCAAGGCTATGACAAGCTACCATCGTTAAATTATTAGAAGACGTGTATTTTCAATTTTATTCCAAATAGAAATACTTATATTTGATGTAATTCAGAATTTTTTATATAAGGCAAAAAAGAATTGTTTATCTTTTACTATCTTTTAAAATCAAATTCTTTTACTCATTTTATTAATATTAATACATTGTTCAAATTGCAATGATTCATTTTAAATATTATTATTTATTATATATATATATATATATATATATATATATATATTATTTAATAACTATAATAATTTAATGTTAAAATACAAAATATTGTTATTGATCAAATATTATTTATAAAGTATTTCAATTTTAAAAGTTTTCAAAAAAAAAAAAAAAAAGTATACTAAAATATTAAACTACAAAATTATAAAAATTAATAAAGTATGCATAATATATATTTTTTATAAATCTCTTACTTTTTATTCAATAATTTATACGAAAACATATGAAATTGAAAGTAAAATATATTTTATATATATTATAAAATTGATGGATTTAATTTTTCATAATTTTTTATAATTTTGAAATGTTAAAAGTGTATAAAGTCTTATAAAAATTCATTCTTTTCTATTGAATCTTTCGAATTAAATAATTACAAAGGATTACATATTCGAATAAAATTTTGTATAATATTGCGTTATATTTTACTTAAAATCTAATTAAAGTAGAAGAAAGTTTAGAAAAAAGTGAATTTATCCTATAATTAGTATACTTATTAGTTTTAAAAGAATACAAAATTTTTTAATAAAATTTGAAGCTTCTTAGTAAATATTTATTTACAATAATGATTTCATCTGTTAACTTCTTTATATAATAAGTAAAATTTACTCAATATAATAAACACTTTATTTTATTATTTGATTTTTTTTAATCTAAGTTTATTTTTTACCGACAAACAAAACAGTTCGCTTGATTGTAGCGTAAAGCAAAGTTCGAATTAAATTGGTAGTTATTTTACTTGTTTAGTAGCAACCAATAGAAATCAGAATAAAAAAAATAAAAAAAAAGTAGTTTTATGATTTCATAGATATGCAAATAGTAAAGATACCTAAAAAGAAATAAATAACAAAGCACGATTAAGTTAATGCAAACTAATTGTTCTCTTACAAACTCTCGGTTCGTTATAAAATACTATTAAGTTAAATTCTATTTAATCACACATCACATCTACATTCGAACAATACACTGCTATCCTTTTCTTCAAAATTTATGAAAATAAATATTATATAATAGCAATAAGGCATCTAGCCTTATAAAACATTTGTTGAGAGACTCACCGATGAGGTCCCACTCTCCGTTCATGATGAAATCAGACAAGTCACCGCCTTGCTGAGAGTTGAGTACCAGATCGAGCTACCAAGATCGAAAAAGTTTCATTAAACAACAAACGTAGACTACGACCTTCTTTCTCCATCATTCGCCACACTTTATGTATAAATTTATGTACAAAGTTTCATTCAATGCACAAACATGCTTCATGCTTATTTTTCTCTAAAGTCGAAAATATTTATCACTAGTTTGTTATATTTATACTTACATTTAAATTTCCAAGATGTCTAATTTATCACTTGATTTTATATATGGATTATTTTATGAAATATGAGTTTGTTTCTTATATTATTGAATGAATGCAAATGTGAATACGAAGTAAGAAGAATAAGAGATATGCCTAATCATGCACGCATTCTCGTATATACATAGGAATACTCACTGTAAAAAAGAAATATGTAAAAGGTGCAGTGAACATTTTCATTCATATTTAAAATATTTTTACTTAAACATATAATATATGGGTATAAAAAATCAGTTTTTCTATAAAATTGATTGAAAAGTCGTATAAATATATTATTTCATAAAAATCTGTAAAGTATGGTAAAATATCAAAAAGGGAAATATATATGAAATATCAAATATCAAATCAATAATTATTAGTTTTTAAGTGACACTAAACATTAAAGTTCTGTTGTACAAACAAAAATTATTCCAACTTTATCTCAAGAGCTTTATCTCAAAAACTATTTAATGCAATTAAATTTTTTCAAGCATTAATATAGTAATAAGTAGAATTAATTAGATTTTACGTTCCTTGCATTTTTATACTTTCTCTTTTACAATGCATTTATATATAAATAATTACCGTATTGTGTACATGTAGGCGAGTATTTTTTAAATTATCAAGAAAACAGCAAAATAAATTGAAGAATTTTTAATATATAATAATTTATCATTGTAACATTTATATATATTTTAAATAAATAGAAACAAATGAATTAATACTTTAAATTTTAATTTATTGTAGTTTTTTTTTCATAAAGAATAATTCAACTGATTATATAATTAAATATATAGAGTAAATATATTATATAAATATTATTCTTATTTAATTTTTATGTCTTTTCATAATTTTCTCTGTGGTAATTAAATGTACGTTTTTAGTGTTATTTTAAATAAAAATATTTTAAATGTCATCTGGTTCAGATAAAAATAATTATTTCATATATTAATAACATTTATAAATTCATTACGAAAATATATTAATCACATAAAATAATAATATTACAACAATTTTTATTGTATAATCATTAGTTATCCATTAAAAAATTCTTATTTCTGAACTTCATGACTAACGCACAAACTATAGATTAATATTCTTTCGAATTTCATTAAGTAAATATTGCTACGAGTGTACATTATATATACACTAATATAAATATTTATGAAGTGCAATTTAAATTAGTATTGTTACATTTTACAAGATTTTATCGATATATTTTTTAATTAATTTTGAAGATGCATACGTACATATACACAGCGTGCTTTGATGAGCTAACAATTATTACACAATCAAAGCTTAATACACGATTGGCTAATTGCGGTTTGGTTACTTTGATTACTCGAGGCCATCGATTTTAGTTTAATATTCAACATCTCACTTGCTCATACGATAGTTAGATATACTTTTTGAATGTTTATTGTCTCAAATTTTTCATTTTATATTATCGATTTTATACTTCTTCGTCAATCGGACTTTGTAATTTAATTATTATTATACAATATTTTTTAGAGAACATCAAATATGAAGTAAGTTTCTCATTATCATTGTTTCAACAAAGGTGGATATTAATATATATATATATATATTTAAACTGTATAATAATATAGATTTATCGAACAATTTTGTGCTTAGTTAAATTATTTGCTTAGATCGCATGTTGTCGATCAATAATACATGCAGTAATACAGTAATATCTATATTTTTAAAGGATTATTTAATATTTTAATTTAGAATTTTAACATCGTGTCAATTTTAGCAATTTATGGAAACTGTGGGTAATTTTCTTCTCAATAAAGTATTAAACCGTGCTTTATTTCATTTTCTTTCTTGTTGTTTACTTTCAATGTTTTGACGGTTGATTTTGTAAAGTCTACATTTTTGTTAGTGATTGCTCCACGTATGAATAATTGAGATTGGTGAAATTGAAGGATAAACTTTCGTGAACATGCAAAACCTTAATTAAGGACAGAAAAGTAAGTCGACAAGGTTAAAAATAAAAAATTTAATAGGAAAAAATGTTTGCGATTGAAGTTGACTTTTGAATTTTAAAATTGAAATCACTAAAACGAAAGGCTATTTTTAGGATATTAGCAAGACTGGTATTTTAATTTAAAATTAATGATACAATTAAAAGTATATAGTAAATGTGTGGTATATCACTATACATCATATAAATAGTCAATACAATTAATTTAATTTTTATGATTTGAGAATTATATTTATCTTCGTAATATATTTTTCATTTGCCATAAGTTCTGAAGGAAACTTGCTATCGAACAATATAATCGTAAATAGATTTATAAATATATTTATTTTGTGCTTTCAATAAATGTTCAAATCCTCACATCTGCAAATACTATTAGGAATTTATTTTCAAGGCTACATTGGACATTTTTCTGGTTTCAAAACGTAAATTGAGTTCCTTATTTTATATGTGAAAATAGCCAGAGGAAAACTTAATGAAACTAAAATAGCTCCTAAGAAATTAGGTGCTGTAAATTTTACACTGTAAAGAAAATGAGGAACATGGAAAAAGCTTTGGTGAAATACCTAACGCACTAGTGATGAGGATAAAGAAAAGGGGATGAGAAAAATAAAAGCATAACAATGTAGGTACCTGGTTGCACTAATTTTTTGTAATTGTATTTTATTGTAAATTTTAACCAATAGTTACACAATAGGTACACCAATTGAATAAAAAGAATTGTGCAATCACCTTTTCGTAATGTGTTTTTTTCAATATTTTTTTATATATGAGAATACTGCAAACACGAGGAATGCGTTTGAGATTTAGTTGCCTGATATCGATACAGATAAATCTATTTTATAGACTCCTTGCTTACGAGTTATCTGTCTGTACCTTATTATGCGAGACGTTTCACAAAATGAATTTTAAAGGTATTGTCTGTTTTTTAAAATGTTTTTTGTTCTATTTTTTCTATTTTAAATTCTTACATATTCGATTATTATTTGTTATTGTTCGATTTTAGTCGTAAATGATACGAGGCATATTCTTATTTTAATTCTTTTGTTTATTTTTGTTTATTATTAAACAATATAGCATGATTTTCAAATGAAAAAGACAAATAACGCTAAGATGTACTGAAATTATTTCGTAATCTTAATCAAAGATTCGAAATAAACTAAAGCAAAAAGTATTCAATAATTTGATATTATTTACATAAGAAGCATAAAGAATATAAAGTGTTTATTGTTATACTTACAAATAGAAAAAAGATTATTTTCTGCTTAGAAAATAGTACAATTCATATAGAAATAATTAAAGAGTAAGTGACTCGCCTTATTATATTTAAAATCGAATATTTTTTATTTTTTTTTTAATCGAAATATCAATATCAACAAATTCAAAAAGTATTTAGTATAAGAAATATTGAAAAAAGATATATATGATTTAAATAAGTAAATATAATTAATATTACATATAATATTATGTAAATATTTAAATATTGTATTAAATATTTATTTTCATGTTTCAAAAAACTGTTAATTACATATACTTATTAAAATATGATAAAGTTATGAGAATTAATAATAGTAACAACAAGATAAACCTTTGCAATAGTAAATATTTATAATAGTATAAATTTTTTAAATATATCATAATTATTGTATTAAATGTGTGGAACAATATTTATTACATAATATTTAACACATAAAAATAAGAAATAAAAAATCAGTAATTGTTTTACTATACAAACAGTTACTACCATTAGTTTTATTTATTTCATGTTTGTTTCATTCCACTCTTGTTCGGTTAACATATGTAAAAAATATACATGCAAATATTAATAGCTGTCATATTGTAAACATTAATTATAAAAAAAAAACACACACACCTATAGATAAATATTATATGGTTAAATGCAATTAATTATGCATTTCAATTTTTTTCGCACGATACTTAAAAAAAAGGCCAATGCATTTCATATTTGACGGCTGTTTATATAAATATGTTTGTAAGCACAACGCAATTGTTTTTCTATATGAAATAATAAAAATGTATTCGTGTCTGTGTACTGGATGTACGGAAGAGGGCCATTTGTTTACCAGCGAGCGGAAATAATGTTTATATTATATAATCACGGTAAATGATGGTTTTATAAATGAAGAAAAACATTAAATGTATCGGATCGAAAATAATAAGCCCACAACGATATTGTAGGTAAACAGATACACGCTATAAGATAACAAAACTATATTCATAGCAAATTCAACATGACTTATTAAAATAGATCCAAGTTCTGTATCTTATATAAATTTATATTAACTGTTCTGTCTAGAGCTTAATAATAAGAAATATCCGTAACCTGCATTTGTTACGACCTCGATCTCGGGATTCTTTTTCTGTCACTGTCTTATTTTTTACATAAAAATTTAACTATAAATCCATTGCCGTATTCTTCTTTAACAAAGAATTTTAAAACATCGGTCATTATATGAAAATTTATATATTTTTTATTACCGTAATTTTTAAAAAATCCAATATTATTTTATTTTTGCATACAATAATCAAATATCTAAACTTCATGCATTAATAAAGGAGGAAACAAAAATTTTACTTTCATGTATTTACGAATATAATTTACTATATATATATATATAGATCTATATATATATATATATATAGATCTAAGATGAATTACTAAAACGGAAAAGATTATAATTAGACACTAAACATATAAAAAGGGATAAGGAATTGTTTATTATAACATCATATACGTCTACAATACTTAATATTTGGATCTGTCGGATAACATTTATTGGGCTATTAAAATGC